AGCACATAGATATTGCCACCCCTATTCATCTTGAAATGATGTTCTTCAAGCTCTGCATAAACACTAGTACCTTTGTACTAGCATGTGCAATGTACAGACCTCAGTGGCAACATGCAAACTCCATCAACTTCCTAATGGAAAATATGGACTCCCTTCTGCTACAACACAGCTGTCAACATATCATAATTGTTGGTGACCTCAACCAACACCTTATACAGAGGGACTTTGATGGCCTTCTTGCAATATTTGACATGAGAAACTTTGTTGATTTCCCTACTCACATCTCTGGCTCCTCCCTTGACCCAGTAGTGAGTAATCTGCCAGAAGGTATAGTCACTTGTCAACCTCTCAGCTACGTTGGATCATCTGACCACAAGGCTGTTTTTATGACACTTAAGATTCCAACAGTACGAGGTGAGGAGTCCACACGCACAACCTGGTTATGGGAAAGAGGTAATTGGCCAGCCCTTTGCTCCAAGCTCGCCACCACCGATTGGAATGCTCTTCTCCAAGGAGATGTTGACAACCAAGTGCAAGCCTTCACTGGACACATCCTTAATCTACAACAAGAACACATTCCTCACTGGCAATATGCGACAAAGCCTACAGATCAGCCTTGGTTTGGCTTTCATTGTAGAGAGGCTGCTACTGCTAAGTACAAAGCATGGTGAAGGTATAAGAGACATCCTACCACCTAGAACAAGAACTTGCACAGGCAAGCCTGTAGGCTAATGGGTGACATTCAAAAGTGGCCCATTGCTAAATGGGAGGTGGACACAAAAAGAAAGCTAGCAACAGGTAGGGTAGGCTCCAAAACCTTGTGGTCCCTGGTCAAGGACAGACAAGGTTATCTGCCTGATGAACTCATTCCACCTCTAAATCGACAGGATGGGACCACCTCTACTAGTAGTCAAGAGAAGGCCGACCTCTTTGCCGAACACTTTGCTTCCAAAATGCAAGTTCCTGATCCAGCAAGGGATCCTCCTTGGCTAGCTGCAAGAACTGTGTCAAAACTGTCAGTGGTGACAATAAGGCAGGAGGAGGTGCATTTCCTTCTTAAATCACTTGACCAAGAAAAGACTGTGGGCCCAGACAAGTTGAGCCCAAGATTGCTGAGAAGATGTGCAGACCAGCTAGCAGCATCTCTAACTTGCATCTTTCAGCACTGCCTAGTACAGTGTAAATGGGCCTCTCTGTGGAAAGAGGCAAATGTAATCCCTGTTCACAAAAAAAGAAGAGCAGAGCAGAAATCAGCAACTACAGACCAGTGTCACTCCTGTCAATCACTGGTAAGATCCTTAAGACAATAATCTCAAGACAAATGACAGAGGTTTTTGACTACCACTCACTACTTTGTGACCATCAATATGGCTTCAGGAAAGGTTACTCTGCTGCTGATCTGTTGTTAAACCTCTCCACTAAGTGGCACCAGTCACTGGATGAATCCAAAGTCAGCTGTGTGGTAGCACTGGACATTGCTGGTCCTTTCGACCGGGAGTGGCACCAGGGTCTCTTAGCAAAACTTCAAGCACTGGGAATTGCAAGCTCTATGCTATGTCTCCTCAGTGATTACCTTCATGGTAGATCTCTAAGTGTAGTTCTCAATGGAACGGAATCAGCAAGACATCCTATCGGGGCAAGTGTTCCACAAGGAAGCATGCTGGGACAATTGTTATGGAATGTCTACTTCAATGACCTTCTTCGTCTCATCCCAGAATCCGATGCATATGCAAACGACTGTACAGTGACATTCACTTATCCAAGAGAAGAAATGCCAGCTGCTCTAAGCTACATCAATCACCAGCTAAGAGCTATATCAGCTTGGGGAAATAGATAGCAAGTAACATTTGCACCTGAGAAAATGCAAATGATGATGGTCTCTAGGTACCATAATGGTAATGCTGGTGCAGTAGTAAGGATGAATGGGAGGGTGTTGGCACATGGAGAAGAAGTTGACATCCTTGGGGTGAAATTTGACTCCAAACTGACCATGAAGAACCATGTAAATCTTGCAAACAAGGCAGCCAGGAAGCTTACAGCACTTTGCCGTATCTTGCATCTGCTTGACAGTAGGGGTTGCAAGATTCTGTACGAGGCACAAGTACGCTCACACCTTGAGTATGCTCCACTTTCTTGGTTTGCCTGCTCCCCCTCTCATCTGCGACTGCTTGACAGAGTAGAGAACAGAGCAAGATGTCTCATCTCTCGCCTGGACCAATCCTAGATAGATCTGTCATTTCAGCAGAGCCTTCAACACAGGAGGGATGTGGGTGGACTTACTGTTATGTACAAGGCCAATACAGTGGACCCCCGCTTAACGATCATCTCCCAATGCGACCAATTATGTAAGTGTATTTATGTAAGTGCGTTTGTACGTGTATGTTTGGGGGTCTGAAATGGACTAATCTACTTCACAATATTCCATATGGGAACAAATTCGGTCAGCATTGGCACCTGAACATACTTCTGGAATGAAAAATTATCATTAACCGGGGGTCCACTGTATTGTCAAAGTACCACACTTGGATCCACTTCCAAGACAGCGTGAAACAAGCTTTTATGCCACCAGATGGGCAAAAAGCAGCAACTTCACTCTGGCTGTACCCTTCTCCAGAACATCACTCCATCTGAGATCATATATACCCAGGATGACTCGAGTATGGAACACATTCGTACAGCATAATGATGTCATCGAGATAAAGTCAGTTGATCAAATGAAAATGCTGGCCTGCAGATGGCTTAAACTTCATCCTGTTCCCTACTTGTATGTCCCATAACAATAAAAATGCTTTCAAATGAGCTGATGTAGGTAACAGCTCTTAGCTTGCCAATAAAGTTGGGAATTCTTAACCTGTAAATAGCTTGTCAATAAAGTTAGTAATCCTTAACCTTGTCAAACCCTGTGTAAAAAAAAAAAAAAAAAAAACTATGTCCCCCATGCTTTTAACATTTCTGTTATGATCTCATCAGTTCCAGCTGCTTTACCTCCTTTCATTCTACGTAATGCCTCACACACCTCCCCCACACTAACATGCTGCTCTTCTTCTCTCCTAAAAGATGTTATACCTCCCTGGCCCGTGCATGAAATTACTACCTCCCTTTCTTCGTTGACATTTAAAAGTTCCTCAAAATATTCCCGCCATATACCCAATACCTCCAGCTCTCCATCTACTAACTCCCCTACTCTCTTTTTAACTGACAAATTCATTCGTTCTTTAGGCTTTCTTGTTTATCTCACTCCAAAATTTTTTCTTATTTTCATTGAAATTTCTTGACAGTGCCTCTCCCATTCTATCATCTGCTTTCCTTTTGCATTCTCTTCACTTTTCTTTTACTCTCCATATACTCTGCTCTTCTGATAACAATTCTACTTTGTAAAAACCCCTCATAAGCTACTTTTTTCTCTTTTATCACACCCTTTACTTCACCATTCCACCAATCACCCCTCTTTCCTCCAGCACCCACCCTCCTATTGCCACAAACTTTTGCCCCACATTCTAATACTGCATTTTTTTTTTTAACTATTCCAACCCTCTTCACCCCCCCTCCCCTACTCATACTTGCACTAGCCCGTCTTTCTGCCGATAGTTGCTTATATCTTACCCTAACTTTCTCCTCCCTTAGTTTATGCACTTTCACCTCTCTCTTACTTGTTGTTGCCATTTTCCTTTTGTTCCATCTACCTCTTACTCTAACTGTAGCTACAACTAAATAATGATCCAATATATCAGTTGTCCCTCTATAAACGTGTACATCCTGAAGCCTACCCATCAACCTTTTGTCCACTAATACATAATCTAACAAACTACTTTCATCACATGCTATATCATTCCTTTTATACTTATTTATCCTCTTTTTCATAAAATATGAATTACTTATTACCAAACCTCTTTCTTCACATAGCTCAGTTAAAGGCTTCCCATTTTCATTTACCCCTGGCACCCCAAATTTACCTACTAGCCCCTCCACAAGATTTTTACCCACTTTAGCATTGAAATCCCTAACCACAAGTACTCTCACACTTAGTTCAAAACTCTCCACGCACACACTCAACATTTCAGAAAATCTCTCTCTCTCTGTCCACTATACTTCTCTTTTCTCCAGGTGCATAAATGCTTACTATAGCCCACTTTTCACATCCAACCCTTATTTTACTCCACATAATCCTTGAATTAATACATTTATATTCCCTCTTTTCCTGCCATAATCCCATTTATTTCTTCCCACTGAAACTCTCCCTCCTCCTTCAGCTTTATTTCACTTAAAGCCAGGACATCCAGCTTCTTCTCATTCATAACATCCACAATCATCTCTCTATCATTCGCACAACATCCACGCACATTCAAACATCCCACTTTGACAGGTTTTCCTCTTCTTTTTAGTAGGCTATACAGGAAAAGGGGTTACTAGCTAATTGTTGTTATTATTATTATATACTCCTGCATATCCAAAACATTGCTGGGACCTATAAATACTTTGTATGTATTCCTAGACAATAAATGACCAAGGCAGGTGTAAATATTCACCTGTCAGTGTGTGTGTGACAATTTGAGTACAATTTCAGTACCTAATATTAGTGTCAGAACAAAGATTGGCTGTGAAATCACAAGAGCTACTATAAATTGTAATTATCACACCATAAAACTTACATAAAATATTAAAACAAGAAAAAAAGGTTTAGCGGCAATACTTCTGCAAGCGGCAGTGCTCCATGTTGCTGTCAGGTGATCACCAAGTGCTAATTTTGCGGGCTCATATCTCAGTAAGTACTGACTGTAAATTTTTTTTTTATTCTATATCACGTAGAAAGATGCGCTCTTTATTTCTATAATTTTTTTTTTTTTTTCAAAATATTTGGAGCACTGGGCGAGAGATTGTAGATCTACATTTGGACAGTTAATGGGTTAATATATGTATTATTATTATTATATTATTTGTAGTATTATTATTATTAAATTTTTAAAAATTATTATTAAAATTATGCGTTCATTTGTGTACAGTTGCTGGAACTGCCACGTTGAGTACACCAGGTAAACTATTCGTTGTTTATGTTTGTTTTGATTTGTGTATTTTATGATTGAGTTTCCCTGTGTGTTGTGAATTTTTCAGTTCTCACATTACTTTTTAAGTTTTTGTCTTAATTTATATATTTTGTGATTGAACTTCCCCATCTGTTGAGTTTTTTGGTTCATTTGCAGTACAGTTTTATTATTTTACTTGTATATATTACAATTTAAGTCTCCCCGTTTGTAGTGAATTTTTCATGTCCATACTGTTCAGTTTTTCTTTGAATTTGTATGTTACAATTGATATTTTTCATAAGTTCTTCATCTCACTCTGTTTTCTGTTTTTCTGGATTTGTATATATTACGACTGATATTTGTTATGTTGAAAGTTTTTCATATCCTTTACTGATGACTGAGACATTCATGTAACACCTGGGTATCTTTACTGAGAGATGTTTCTCCTGCACAGCAGACTTTATTAATCTAATACAGACATATAAGGATGGAGTTTTTTTGTAGTGGAGACAGTGGAAGAAGTGGAGAGACTGCAGCAGCGATCGTTATGATCACACGTGGTCATGGCACACTGATGGAGGCAGGTCATGCCCATAAGGTGGGCCAGAGATTTAGCAGTGGTATTGTAGAATATTTTTTGTACCAAGATTCTGTGGTGTTACTGTGTCAGACAAGTATCATTATAGTGATGGTATGATACCCCTACAACCATAATTAGCTGAGTACAATCAGGTGAGTGCATGCACACACTCAGACACACACAGGTATGTCTTGCTACTTCTGCTTACACTCAAGTCACACTAGAAGAGGTATGATTAAGCTCATGGAGCAGGAAGAGTGACCCAGTAGCGACCAGCGAAGAGGCAGGGCCAGGAGCTATGAGTCGACCCCTGCAACCACAACTAGTTGAGTACAACTAGGCGAGTACACACACACACACACACACACACACACACACGCACACGTGCGCATACCACACACACACACACACACATATAACAGGCTAAGTGTCTAATCGACATGTGCCTAGGACAAAATGGTAACTAACCAGTAGTTGATGAATAAGTCATGTGTTCAGTGCCCAGTGTTCTTACACTTGTATCTTGGTCATCAACTTGTCAGAATTGTGTTCTCCTTGCTTGACACAAACCTAATTACCTCCGATTCCCCAATTACTGTATGACCCCTACCAGTCTCTTGCATTCCCACGAATGTAATAATAATAATAATAATAATAATAATAATAATAATAATAATAATAATAATAATTATAATAGTAATTATAATATTCGCAGGTTTTCACCTGATGTACTGGGTATGCAGGCCAGTTCAGCACTGGTGTGGCTGGCACTGGAGATAATAGTGACACTCTTGACCCTCTACATCACTGCCATTAAGACCTACATTAAAGTCTTGGATCTACTAGCATTTGCTTCATACAAATATGTTGGGTGAGTATTGTCTTATTCTTCGTAGGAGCCTTCCTGGTAGTTGGTGAAGGGCCATTGATGCAAGGAACTGTAGCTATCCTTCCCTTGTTTCAATGATGGTGTGCACTAACAGGTGGTAAGGAAGAAAGAAACTACTGTACGGCTGGGGCTTGAACTCGCGGCAATCATGTTATTACAGTTTCATGAGGTAAGGAGGACATTGTGTTTTAAGGAAATCTTTATCACAATGTTTTGTCCAGAAGCGGACTTTATCAGCTGGGTTATTGTATAGATTTCCACATAAGAGTGGTTATAGTAGGTTGTAAGTTGGTAGACAGCACCTGCCCATGGAGGTACTACCATCCTGTCAAGTGAGTGTAAAACGAAAGCCTGTAATTGGCTTACATTAGAGTAGGATTGCTGGTCTTTTTTTTCTGTCTCATAAACATACAAGATTTCAGGTACGTCTTGCTACTTCTACTTACACTTAGGTCACACTACACATGCATGTACAAGCGTATATTTACGTATATGATTGATGGTTTGAAAACCGACAAGTTGAAGATTGAGACGCTTGTGTAACATATGGGAATCTTTATTAAGGAAGCAATTTGTCACACAGTGGCTTCTTTAGTCCAATACAAAGCAGAGAGGGGTAAGAAGAGGAGGAGTTTGAGGTAATGAGTCCCTCAGCCTGGAATCGATGTGTTCAGTCCATCACTCTTGTAGAAAGTACAGCATATGGCTGGAGAAAGTTGTGTATAAGGGATGCTTCAGCAAAATGGCATCCATGGACCATCAGTAACAACAGCCTGATTGACCAGGTAAGCACCAAACTTGCCTGGCTCAGGACTGGGCTGTGGGAGCAGGAAAACTCTTACAACCCATCAGTGGTATATCAGAGATATAAAGATCATGCTTAGTATTGTGGCTGCAACAATTCACAACTAACCCACAATGCTGTGAAGAAATAATATCTTGTGTAAAACTGCATAAATATTTTTGTAAATGTTTAAAAATTTGCATATTTTTGGGACTATAATTTTTTTTTTTTTTTTTTTTTTTTACAGAATGATTTTTGCACTTTTGGCTGGCTTGCTGATGGAGAGTTTGGGCTATTACTGCATCCTGGTGTACAGCAGTCTCAGCCTTGTTGTTTTTATGGTATGTATATTTTTGTATGTGTGTGTTTACCTATTTGTACTCTCCTGTTTGTGGCTGCTGGGGTCAAGTCTCAGCTTCTCTCCTGGCCACTATTGAATCCCTGCCTCTCCGCTGGCCACTATCGGGTTTCCTCTCTTCTGGGATACATATTCCTCTCTTCTTTCATACATATTCTTAAAACTATTTATGGATAAGCCAGGTTGTGATGGATATGTGGGTCATTAGGCCACCAGCAGCAATTGCCTGGTTGACTAGACAAAAACTAGGCAAGCCTGGCCCATGGCCAGACTCTGGGAGTAAAAACTCTTGTAACTCATCAAGGGTACCACTTCATTGTCTAGGTGGTTCCACTTCACGACATCTCCAAGGTTAAAGAAGTATTTCATAACATTCCTGTGACTTGTCTTTGTCTTTAACTTCCAGCTGTGCTCTTGTGTTCTTCATTCTGTCTCTTAACTGATTCACTGGTCTACTCAGTCAATTCCTCTCAGTATTTTGTACTGTATTGAATGCATTTTTAAAGTTCAAAAATATACAGTCCACCCATACTTCTCTTGCCTAACTTTTGTTACCTTGTCATGGAACTCTTAACAGATTTGTGGGACAGGATTTACCATCAGTAATCTTGTTGGCTGTTACTTATTAACCCACTCCTTTCCAGGTGCTCCTCTACTCTTATTGTGATTATCTCCATAACCTTACATACTATGTATGTCAGTTATACTAGCCTGTAATTTAATGATACCTTTCTTAATTTAACCCTTTGACTGTTTTGGTCGTATATATATGTCTTACAAGCCACCGTTTTTGACGTATATAAACTCAAATTCTAACAGCTTGAAATCGAGCAGTAGAAAGCTGGTAGGCCCACTTGTGAGAGAATGGGTCTGTGTGGTAAGTGTGCACCATATAAAAAAAAATCGTGCACCACGCACTGCATAATGAGAAAAAAAAACTCTGACCTTTTTTTTTTTAATTGAAATGCTGACTTTGTGGTCTATTTTCATATAGTACTTATGGTTGCATTCTCATTTTCTTGGTCTCATTTGATAGAATGGAAGACATATTATAGAACTAGAGGTGATTTTGATTGGTTTTACTATGAAAAGAACCTTGAAATAGGGCTCAAAGTAGGGGACATGTTTGATTTTTGCTGATGTGGCCAGATGGAGGTTACATACCTACCACACTTTGATACCTACCTGCCTTACTATTCACCTTGCACCCTATATTAAGACCATTAACCCTTTGACTGTTTCTGTCATATATATACATAAGTGGCCCGGTGGCTAAAGCTCCCGCTTCACACACGGAGGGCCCGGGTTCGATTCCCGGCGGGTGGAAACATTCGACACGTTTCCTTACACCTGTTGTCCTGTTCACCTAGCAGCAAATAGGTACCTGGGTGTTAGTCGACTGGTGTGGGTCGCATCCTGGGGGACAAGATTAAGGACCCCAATGGAAATAAGTTAGACAGTCCTCGATGACGCACTGACTTTCTTGGGTTATCCTGGGTGGCTAACCCTCCGGGGTTAAAAATCCGAACGAAATCTTATCTTATCTTATCTTACATCTTATGAGCCACCATGTTTGATGTACATGTGCTCAAAAATTCTAGCGGCTTCAAATCAAGCAGGAGATAGCTGGTAGGCCCACATGTGAGAGAATGGGTTTGTGTGGTCAGTGTGCACTATATAAAAAATCCTGCACCACACAGTGCATAATGAGAAAAAAAAAACTGACCGTGTTTTTGGATTAAAACGCTGACTTTGTGGTGTATTTTTGTATAGTATTTATTGTTGTAATCTCGTTTTCTTGGTCTCATTTGATAGAATGGAAAACATATTATAGAACTAGAGGTGATTTTGATTGGTTTTACTATGAAAAAGAACCAAAGTAGGGGACATGTTTGATTTTTGCTGATGTTCAAAAGTAAACAAATGATGTCATTGTCCAATAAATGTCCAAGTAGCCATTCTAATATGCAGTCATGAATGGGTTGACATTATTTATATAATTATTACAATATTGCAGTAGTCTGCATAACAGTAAATCTTTTATTTTTTGTTTGAATAAAAATTCAAAATAGAATGCAAGAGTAATATCAGAGGGGCCTGGAGATGTGACTAATGAACAAAGAAAATGTTATTTTAGAGCCAGGAATGTCTGCATTGTTCATTCTGGACCCTATTTTGAAATTGTCATATTTTTTAATTTGCGTGAAATTGACCAAATTGCAAATTTCTTACCATGTTATTGGGTAGTTGAAATCAGTAAATGGGCAGTTTCTTGTACTCAGTCGATAGAACAAATCGGGTTCTAAAGAAATAGCTATGAATTTGGTCGACTGGAACAGTGGAATTTGCCGAAAGTAGAGCTCAAATTGGGTGAAATCGCCGATTCGTAAATATTGCCGAGGTTAACTTCGCGAGAGCGTAATTCCCTCAGTTTTCCATCAAATTTCATTCTTTTGGTGTCATTATCATTGGGAAAAGATTCTCTATCATTCCATGAGATTATTTTTTTTTTTTTTTTTTTTTTTTTTTAATTTTTGACACCAGGAGATACCTCAGGATTTGGGGTTGTGACAGTCAAGGGGTTAAGACTACAAATAGTTTAAGGTATGTAATGAGTGTGCTGTATATGCATTTTATTGCTCTAGGGCACTTTAAATGCCTACTTTATAATGTGTAGGGTGGTGTCATTATCATTGGGAAAAGATTCTCTATCATTCCATAAGATTATTTTTTTTTCTTGATTTTTTTTTTTTTTTTTTTTTTTTAATTTTTGACACCAGGAGACACCTCAGGATTTGGGGTTGTGACAGTCAAGGGGTTAAGACTACAAATAGTTTAAGGTATGTAATGAGTGTGCTGTATATGCATTTTATCGCTCTAGGGCACTTTAAATGCCTACTTTATAATGATACCTACCTACCTTACTATTTACCTTGCACTCTGTATTAAGACCATTAAGACTACAAATATTTTAAGGTAAGTAATGAGTGTATTGTATATACATTTTATCGCTCTAGGGCACTTTAACCCTTTCAGGGTCAGCAAGGCCTCTCCTAAATTGTTCTCAGGGTTGGAAATTTTTCAAAAAAAAAAAAAATTATTTTTTCTTGGGAAATGATAGAGAATCTTTTCCCGATCATATTGACACCAAAAGTATGAAATTTTATGGAAAACTTATGGAGTTATGCTCTCGCAAAGTTAGAGGTCTCGACGATGTTTATGCATCGGCGATTTCGCCCACTTTGAGCTCTATTTTTGGCCAATTCCAATGTATCAGTCGACAAAAATCATACCTATTTTGCTAGAACTCCATTTTTTCTATCGATTGAGTACAAGAAACCACCCATTTACCAATTTCCACTACCCAATAATGTGGTCAGAAATTGGCAATTTTGCCAATTTCACACAAATTTCAAAAGATGCCAATTTCCAAATAGGATCCAGAATATACAAGACAGACATTTCTGGCACTAAAATAACATTTGCTCTGTTCATTACTCATGTCCTTAGGCCTCTGTTACATTTATTTTGCTTTCCACTTTGAATTTTTATTCTCACAAAAAATAGAAGATTTATGTTATGCAGACTACTGCATTCGTGTAGAAGTGGCATAGAAATGGTATAAATAATATCTAGGCTCTTGTTAAAGAATATTACACTCACCAGTTGATGTGTATTAGACGCGTGGCATGTTTTGTTTACATTTGAACTTTGGCAAAAATCAAACATTTCAAATACAGTGGACCCTCGCCTAACGAACGCATCGCATAACGTTAAATCTGCCTAGCGATACACTTTAACGCAAAAATTTTGCCTCGGCTAGTGCTAAAAAACTCGCTCAACGCAATTCATTCGAGACGCGTCCACATGTGGCCTGAGCCCGCCTCACTTGTTCCGTGGGTGCCAGTGTTTACAAGCCAGCCACCGCAGTCGCTTCCAAGCATACAATCAGAACATTTCATATTATCACAGCCTTTTTAGTGATTGCACTTGCAAAATAAGTCACCATGGGCCCCAAGAAAGCTTCTAGTGCCAACCCTACAGGAAAAAGGGTGAGAATTACTATGGATATGAAGAAAGAGATCATTGCTAAGTATGAAAGTGGAGTGCGTGTTTCCGAGCTGGCCAGGTTGTACACAAAACCCCAATCAACCATTCCTACTATTGTTACCAAGAAAACAGCAATCAAGGAAGCTGTTCTTGCCAAAGGTGCAACTTTGTTTTCGAAACAGAGATCACAAGTGATAGAAGATGTTAAGAGACTGTTATTGGTGTGGATAAACGAAAAACAGATAGCAGGAGATAGCATCTCTCAAGCGATCATATGTGAAAAGGCTAGGAAGTTGCATGAGGATTTAATTAGAAAAATGCCAGCAACTAGTGGTGATGTGAGTGAATTTAAGGCCAGCAAAGGTTGGTTTGAGAGATTTAAGAATCGTAGTGGCATACATACTCTGATAAGGCATGGTGAGGCTGCCAGCTCAGACCACAAAGCGGCTGAAAAATACGTGCAGGAATTCAAGGAGTACATAGACAGTGAAGGACTGAAACCTGAACAAGTGTTTAATTGTGACAAAACAGGCCTGTTTTGGAAGAAAATGCCAAGCAGGACCTACATTACTCAGGAGGAAAAGGCACTCCCAGGACATAAGCCTATGAAAGACAGGCTTACTCTGTTGATGTGTGCTAATGCTAGTGGTGATTGCAAAGTGAAGCCTTTATTGGTGTATCACTCTGAAACTCCCAGAGTGTTCAGGAAAAACAATGTCCTCAAGGCTAATTTGTGTGTGCTGTGGAGGGCAAACAGTAAGGCATGGGCCACTAGGGACTTTTTCTATGACTGGTTACACCACGCATTTGCCCCCACTGTGAAAAATTACCTCCTGGAAAATAAATTGGACCTTAAGTGCCTCCTGGTATTAGACAATGCTCCTGGTCATCCTTCAGACGTGGCAGAGCGACTTTCTGCAGAAATAAGCTTCA